TTTAAAAACACATGGAAAATACTAAATAGCCTCAACAGGTTCAATTGCATGCCAATTCAAATGTGAAAATCGTTATTTTTTATATTTTAACAAGATTAGGTATTTTATAATCTACAGAGCAATTAAAAAAATAACACTATCATTTGATGCAATTCCTGTTTAATATGGTTTTGTTGTTGTTGATTCAGGCAAATTGTGGTGAGACTGTTTTTATGAAAAAACTTTTCATATTAATTGTATAGCAAGCTGTCAAAAAGATTACATTTAGTAATAAAGTTCAAATGATAGTGTATTATTGTAGTAGTGATTATTATGATCATCATCCCAACATCTTTAGAATAATCAAGTAAAAAAGGTTTTCCTGAACAGCATTGCAAATTGGGAGAAAATCATAACTCTTACATTTAATGCCACGTCAACACACACACACACACACACACACACACACACACACAAACCTTTTTCAGCAAGAGGCCACTGATGAGACATAGTTGCCTTTTCCTTCATCCAATTTCCTGCACCGGTGTGTCGGCCCTGCTGCGAGCGAAGCCGCTCTCTTTGTGCTCTTCTGATTGTCTGCCTCTCAGCAGGAGCTAAGGTCTCTTGAAGAGGCTTTTTATTAAAGTTATTTTTCATGACATTTCTGCCACACATATTGGACAGTTCTGGGCAAAAGGAGAAAGAAGGTAAAGGCTGGATCTCAGAAAGGTCATGGTTGATGTTGAAACCAATACAAATCTTCAGAATATATATATATATCATTTGTAAAGAGTGTTTCCAGTGCTGTCCATTCAAGGTCCAGTTGGGCCTCACACTGACTCGTATAAATAAATGATAATACATGTAAGAAAGAAAAGGTTTAAATTATTTAATATTCCCAGATATATTTGAATATTATTCTTTTTTTTTAATAGACATATTTAAGTAACAATATTTAGGTTAGTTTAACCTTGTTAACACCAAATGAAAATGAAGCCAGTGATGAATCGACAATGTCATTGTATATCTCCTTACAGGAAGGGAGGATTATGTTATGATGAGGGAGGATCAGATCAAATAGATTAAGAATAGGAGTGTGAATAAGGTCAGAGAAGAGTATGACCTCCTGTTGCCTTTTCTGCATTTGGTTGTCTTAGTAATATATCTGCAAGTAAATCATAGTTGATGAGATATATGTATATATATATATTAATGTGAAATATTAGCATAGATTAGCATAATTATTTTGGGGGAAAGAGACAACACACACAATAAACACAGTTCTCCCAGCCCTATTGTAGTTTGTTATCTAAAGGATCTATACTGTATATGTTATACAAAGTCCTTAACGGCCTCTCTCAGATATAACACACAGAACTCAAATCCTTTTTTTAACCTGAAAATAATAACCAGCACACCATGCTGTTGGGTATAACTTCGATAAAGGCAGTGCTTTTATTTATTTTGTTAATACGTTTTCCAGTCCCCGGGTCTCCAAAGGTTTCGAGTCACTTGACTTTATTGAATCTTTTATGGACAATATATTTCCTCGAGAAGTTCTCTCCCCTTGTTCCTCTTCATAAACCCCCCTGTGGTTCTCTCCTTTTTTCCCCTCAGCCTCCCGCTCCCTCCTGTGTGCTTGGTGAGACCTATACTGTACAAGTGCTTCTTCATCCTGTGTCACGTTGTCATATTTAATGCAAGAGTTTCTCTCTTCCTCTCTCCCCTTCTTGCCCCCATGCTCTCAGGATTGCCATAACTTTAGACTAAAGGTAGCCTTCTCCTCTCATTTCCTCTCTGGTTTCCTTGTCAATCTTTTCATTTCCCTTTTTCCTCTCCTCTCCTATCCAATAGTTGTATTTCTTTTCATCTCTTTTTCTCCTTCCTGAACTCTTTTGATCTTGTCTCCTCGTCTTCTCCTCTCTTGTCTGTCTTGTCGTGGTGACATGTTACTACATTTCTGATCATGTGTTTGTGGTTCCAACCTATAGATCTATTTTACCAACCATTTGTTCTGGGTGTGAAAAATAAGATAAGGACACATATTAAAAAAGCAAATGTTATTGCTGCAATAAATCAATGTTTGTCCAGGCAAACATTGATATTCATACGCAGCTGATTTGTGTACGTTATTGAACATTTCAGCTTTTCTTCAATATACCCGCTGTATACTCTATGCGGATCATTAAGCCCTTTGGATAAGGTGAATGTGTGCGTCAAATGAGAGTACATTGATTATTTTCTATGTGAATATGAATGGTTAGTACATCCTGACATTGTACTGTTCACAGTTCATGGCTATACACTTGTTTACATGTGTGTCTTTGTGCGCTGTACTTGTCTATGGCTCCCTCTGCCTGTCAACATTGTGTGTGTGCTTCCTCACACCATTGCTACTAGAGGTATAACCTGCTGATAGTATTACGTTTACTTATTTTAGGATTTGCTTAAGCCTAACCTGCCTTATTTTCGACCTTTCACCTCACATTCTAATTTTCTGGGATGATTAACTCGAGAAATATTCCACACCGGCAACATATTTGGTTTGATTAATAAAAATAAAACCAATATTGACCACTAGATGTCAGCATTTAACTAAAGTAGAATGCTATACTGTAGTCAGAATGATGAGCAACTGTTTCGTATGTGTGTGTGTTCGTGTGTGTGTGTGCTGTCAAGGTAATACATTTTTGTTTCCTTTTTTTCCCACTCACGAATCATCACCTTGCTTCTTCTTCTTCTTCATACTAGAGGATTGTGATTTGACACCACCCTAAAATTGTCCTGATGTTCACTCACATTCGTTAATTCAGTTTTTCCTTTCTCCTCTTCAAACCACTTTCTTGGTGGAATACAGGCAGGTCATAATTAATGACATAATTCACATGGTTTTCTATAAACCTATCGCTTAGTGTTGGAGATTATTATTTCTTTGTTAAAGATTGATAGATTCCGATTTTTCTCTCCTGGAATAGATTTTGAATACTTTGTATGTAAGGTGTGAACATAACAATTGAAGCAGAAGCACTAACTGTTTGGATTAAAATCTGCCCATACCCAATCCATAGATACTAAATAATGCGGTGCACCCCTAGTTTAAATACAACATTATTACTGAATCTTCATTACATTTTCTTATATTCATAAACACTCTTTGAATCAGCCCTCAACGTCCTGCGTTTGTAAGTGTCTTGGATGAGTCAGCCCTTTTGGCTTACATTATTCTCCAGTGTACTAAGTGAGTCGGCCATTTTGGTTTCAGGACCAAGCAGTTGTGGAAGACTCTGATCAGGTGATTCTGAGAGGGAGGAAGTAAGGCTGCTGCTCGCTCGGCTCGGTCAGGCTCTTTTCATTGGCTAAAGCTTCCAGGTGTGCTGTGATCTGGTGTGGTCTGCTCTGCTTTGCCTTTCTGTGCTGCACTCCCTGCTTAAGATCAGACAAAGGTGGATGCCATTAAAGCTGCTCAGCATCGGTTGTCTCGCGTAAAATATATTTGTATTCAGAATATCTTTTTTAAAGAAAGCTTTGTCTTTCATGAATACATACACTGATAACAATTGTATCAACAAACAGAGAGAAGTCTCAATGAACTGAGGGTACAAGAAAACATCAAATCGTTTTCAAGTATTCCTTTAACTGATTCCTGTGGGATTATGTGTGCACATGTTTTTTCACTATGTAATGAAGGCTTCCTAGTTACCTGCACAGATTTGGGGAAGGATCTTCTATAGTGAGGAAGGACACTTAGAAATATAATACCAAATGGTCCTTGCTACAGCAGATCAATAGCATGTGCATGTAGATTCGTGTAGAGGATCAGCATGGTGTGAATAATGGACCTGCCAATTTCGGTTGTGTTCTTGTGCAGACAGGTAGTAGTGTTCCAAAGAGGAGAACAATTAGTTCTTGATCGTGGTTTAGCGTTTAGACTGAACTGTGGTTTTGTTCTTTGGAGTATCTTGCTATGGTGGGAGATTACGCATGACTTTGGCATGAAGGAAGTGCATAGAAGACACTATTTTTGCCAATGCAGGTTGAACATGAGAGAATCTTGACTGGACAGGATTCACATGCACATTCTGTAGCAAATGCCACAGTGTCCTCTTTGCCATTACTCTAGCAGCCATGTCACTGTCCTGGTGAATAAGCCCTCAGTTCAGGAGGAAGGCTTGAACACATTTTTGAGACTTTTTCTATCCTACATAGTCAGAAGAAGCAGACCAGTTCAGATGTAAAGTTATATCATTTAAAGATATTATATCATTACAAGTGATATGCAATCACAAGATATAAATTCCCTTTCGAATATAAAAGTATTAATGTTTCAAGGATGTCTCATAGATATGTCTGTCGGTACTTTCTCTCCACAAAAGGTGGTATTTTTTACTGTAATAGTGTGCCACTATTCTCAGGTTGCCTCCTTTAAGCCATCAGAAAACAGCCAGTACTACGATTTTAATTTATTTAAATTAAATTAAATTCGTTAAAAAAAACGAGATGTTTCACAGCTTCAGCAATGTATTAGTAAATAATAATATGACAAGATAAAATAAATAATGTGTATATACTCTCCTTTTCCACACGTCATTCCTGCCACAATGGCACCACAGTCTCATTTCACTTTCACTCATTGATTTTGAATTCTGCTCATCATCTGTGTATCGGCGATGTGAGTGAGCAACTAAGCAGTGTGACTGTGTAGTAAATAATGTTTATGATAATGGCTGTAGTGGTACTAATTTGTAAAACAAACAGAGAAAAGTTGATGTGTTGATCTTGATCTCACATGTTGTGTTGAGAGGAAACCAACACTAATACACTTTGTGTAAGTTTACCATTGGTTCCTTATAACTTTATTACATTTTGTGTATATAATAACCTAAAACAAGATCTACATTTAAGGAATTCAGGACAATAATCTTGTCCCAACAACATAGCCAAGCTTCATTTGGTGTCTATTTCTCAAGGAGATTTCAAATGGCGGATCTCTAACAAACAACCCTTTTGTTCCCCGAGTGCAGAAAGCCAAGCTAGGCCCAGGTAAGAAGATGATCAGCCAGACGGACGACGGCCGCTCCAGCCCACAGCCTTTCACCAGCATGAACCAGGTCAAACTTAGCGACTTCTCCTTCCTGGCTGTGCTCGGGAAAGGGAGCTTCGGCAAGGTGAGGCAGCTGTGATCACAATACATTTGTTTTACAAGTAAAAGACAGCACAAGATCTTAAAGGTCTCTTATCATGCAAAATGCACTTTTTAATGTCCTTTATACATATGTGTCCCCGGTGTGTCAGGGAACTCACAAAGTGTCAGAAAACAAAACTCCTCTCTTTTCCTCCGTACCCAAATCTAAAAAAATGGGGGTACAACGGAGCTTTGCATCCGATATGTGTTACGCCCCGGTCTAGGGGAACACAACATAACATATGACGTAATAACGGAAATGTGGGCTGACTTTACACTGCCCTATCAGAAACGTCGCTATCAGAAACAACGCGCTTCCTGTTTTGGATGTAATATGGTCTTTGTTTACATTAGCAAGCATCGCTAACACTCAGAGCTAACACTGTACTGGAGAAAGTGTAAGAAAGCAGGAGAAAAAACAAGGAACTCATCTCGTGGTAAACTCGCAAGAGAAAAAGCATTTGAGCTCCAAACTGTTTCAGAAATAATCCTTGATGTGATTTGGAACATGATGGCGTTTAATCACGGCAGCATTTAGCTGTATCTCTGACAGGGCTGAAATAGAGGGATATGAGGGATGTCTAAAATGCATGATCTATTTGGCATTTTGAGAAAAACACGTTGTTTTTTATATATTTGTATACATCTGAGACACATAATATATGCCTAGAAATAGCATGATAGGAGATTTTTAAGGAACAAAATACAACGCGGTAAACAAAAATGATAACTTTTACAACCTACCTCCCTTCTTTCCCTGTGTGTCTGTCACTATAAAGGTCATGCTGGCAGAAATGAAGGGCACTGAAGAGCTGTTCGCAATAAAGATCCTGAAGAAGGACGTGGTGATTCAGGACGATGATGTTGAATGTACCATGGTGGAGAAGAGAGTCCTGGCCCAGCAGGACAAGCCACCCTTCCTCACCCACCTCCACTCGTGCTTCCAGACTGTGGTAGGTAAAATGCTCCTGGACACGAATCAGGACACTGTAGGTCAGGTCAGGTCAGATTAATTCATGAAGGGGCTTTGAGCTAAACAGCTTAGTCATAAAGTGTTGTAGAGAGCAGCAGAGGACGTGTATGACAAGTACGATTTAAGCAAATAAATAAATAATTGAGACGGGGAAACAAACAAACCCCAATAAGGAGGCTCAGGTTTGTGCGTGTGTACACAAAAGCATGTGTATGTACGTGCATCTACGTCTGTGGGTCATGCCTAAACCAGACCACAAAACTGTATGAGTGAAGTCATGCAGTCTTAAATATCTTTATTTTCTACACACACACACACAAGTAGTATATTGTGCTTGCTTGTATAAAAAGAAACAAATGCATACTAGTGCACCCACATGCGTACAAACAGGCGTTTGCATACAATGCATAAAGTAATTCTGCTTTCCCTTGTGCTTCGCATCGTAATTTGGATAATTTAAAACACGAACATGCAAAAGATCCCCTATTCTATCCCCCATGTATGTCTGTTAGATCATAGAGATATATATATTTTAGCTCTGCTTCAAGACCTATTATATAACAATGCCAGTAATAGAAATATAGCACACTGGCTTAGTATAACAGTCTAAAATCAGGCGAGGTCCAGTTATGACATGAACGTAAAATTTGGCATTTTGATGTGTAATGAGTTGGCCCTTTCAAATGTCACCAGTTAGCCGTCCTTTAGAGTTAAAACGCTAGTCCAGCCATTGGTTTGCACAGGATGCAAAAGGAACGTCAATTAGCTGCTCAGAAAGGCCGTGCTGAACTATAGCAGCTGATTAGAGCTGTAGCACCAGCAGGCTGACAGAGGAAATAGAAGGAGAGACAGCTTGGCATCACTCATAGCATATTCACACACACACACACACACACACACACACACACACACACACACACACACACACACACACACACACACACACACACACACACACACACACACACACACACACACACACACACACACACACACACACACACACACATACTCTCACAGTTCATTCTCGCACATACAGAAACATGAAGACTATCTCACTCGCTCACTTTCACAACCTCTCCAGAATTTCCACAATTTCTTTGCAGACCCTTTTTAGAATCCTTGCCGGCACTGCTTTGTTAAGATACTGTGAGTGAAGACTGTAAGCAGCAAAAGATAATGATAGGTGAAAGCAGCACATGGAACACCAACATAATGTATCTCTTAATGATACCACAGCATATCATAGGAACATAAACTGAGTAAAGTGAGAATAACTTCATTATTTAACACTTCAAAGAGAAGACATTTAAGAATTCCCAGTCATAATGTATAACTCTTTGCTACGAGCGCATGTGTTTAGCATCTATTAGAATGACATTCAGCCCAAGCTACTTTAGAGAGCCACTATCAAATTAATCAGCACAACATCTACGAGAAAGAAATACTTCAAAAAGTTGAAGAATAAGATACAGGGTTCGTACGGGTGCTGGAAATCCTTGAAAATGCTTGAAAAGTGCTTGAATTTGACTTTGAAAAAGGTGTAAGAACCCTGAAGATAGATAACATGCAATGTGCAGTTTGTTTGAAACATTATCATCTTAGTGCTACGAGCATCAAAGCTCTTACAAGTCCAAGGACAGATGCTCCTTTGTTAAACCCGATGGGGAGGTCAGCTTGGTACCTTACACTTGGTTTGTGTTTTCCTAGTGAGGGCCTGTCAAGCACAGCTAGACCAGGGTCAGGGCAAATTGTCATGGGGAATAAAGGGCCGGCACTATCAGACAAATAGGATATCTTCTGACAGGTGCTTTGTTGTGGGCTTTTTAGGTCACCTTGTTATGGAAAGTGTAGCGGCTACTATGGAATGACTCAGACAGCAATATTAGGGGAAGCTGTACTGTAACACTGACTGTAACACAGTGACATATAAATCTAGAAAAGCTGTTTACTTTAATGTTGTTGTTTTTTTTGTGGCAAAATAATAATGTTGCACATTTTTCTCTCCCTAAACCCTCTCCGCTGCCCTCTATTTCAATAACCACAGGACCGTCTGTACTTTGTCATGGAGTATGTGACCGGAGGAGACCTCATGTACCATATCCAACAAGTGGGCAAGTTCAAGGAACCTCAGGCAGTGTAAGACATTTCAATTTGACTTTATAGTGAATCATTTTCTACTGTCAAATTGGCATTCAATGTTAATTGCAGTTTAAGATAAGTGTTATTTGAGTTTTCTGTGAAGCACTAGCTTTGACATTATAAGGCAATCTTGTCATTTATCTCATGGAATCAATTCTTGAATACTGGAATATCGGAGCTGTAAGCGATCTGAATGTAAAGTTGCCTTGTGTTTTAAGTCTGTAAATGTGTGTTTGTTATTTCAGGTTCTATGCAGCTGAGATTGCTGCTGGTCTCTTCTTCCTGCATCTTAAAGGAGTCATCTACAGGTGAGCATTAACTAGTTTACATAGTGCGTGCTGTTCTTTAATCAGTGGCCAAACCTGAAGTTAAAAACAGAAATGCTATGCGATAATTAATATTTGTTTCACGAACACACTACCATAAAAGTGAAAGCTCTTGTTTTTTGTAACCACCCAGCAGAAGCAATCGAGGTTTGTTTTTGCTGAATAAAAGTTAGAAATACTCAGTCAGTGTAAGAAACCTACTGTAACAAGTCGTCATTACCTAGTTATTTTAAATGTCTGTGTCTTTCCTCAGAGATCTGAAGTTGGACAATGTGATGCTGGACTCTGAGGGACACATTAAAATTGCTGACTTTGGCATGTGTAAAGAGAACATGTCAGAAGGAGTGACCACACGCACCTTCTGCGGGACTCCAGACTACATTGCTCCAGAGGTAAGGCTGAACACTGAGGGATTTGTGCGAGCTGCGTGTGCACGTTTTGATCCGTGAACTCGTCTCTGTCACTGTCCGCCTGCGAGCTTGTGTCATCCTTGTGCTTCAGATTAAGGTCACTGCCTCAGGACAGCTACACAAAACACACACACGCAAGCACTCTCATGACTTAAGCTTCCCAGTCTGACAGACGCTCAGTGTGTCCGCTGGTGAGTCCAAATGTAACCCAAACATACATGTTGGGGTCTTTGTGTGTTTCAATAGGTTTTCCCTGCTGCAAGTTTCATCCTTTTATTAGAATGTTGTTTTGATCCGTTTTGGACTTGATCATTGAATTCAAGGCAAATCCCCTTGACAAGATTATTTGTGATCATTTGTGATCTATTCACAAATGTTTACTTTCTGCATTGTTATGATTGGTTTAACAATCATAAAGATAAACATCTCTAAGAGTGGAAGTGCCCCAGCCAATTAGGTGCTAAACAAAAGTGCTGCCTGTAAATCATGGGATGTGCTATGTGTCCATGATTCAATGCGGTAATGATTATCTTTCCATTATCAGTTAGTTGCTTCTATCAAATGGTGGGTTGGGTTATTGATTCTCTCTAAAAAAAGAATCCCTCAGACAGACCGGGAGGTTAATTTTGTCCAGTAGACGCAGGGTGGACATGCTGTGACCACTCAGACCAGTCAGACTGACACAATGTGCCAGTCAGGGATGACACAGCAGGGAGCGGCTACTGTTTCCATAGCAATGTGAGCCGATGCACACATTTAATATCCCAAACACACACACACACGCACGCACGCACATGATGTCACATGCATGACAGAATCCCATGTACCTATATTTCTGCATAGTCAAACTCTCTTAAATACATATTAATCTAGACACACTCTAGCACACACTCAAAAACCCTCAAAATGGGAGTTTGACCATTTCTTCAGTGGTGACTTTTTCAGAGATAATTGAGATAAAGTGCTCCTCAATATCTCTGTACAGAAGGACCAGTTCAGTTTTCATATAAATAATGAACACTTATTTGCAGAGTTGTTTCATTGCCCTTGGTCCATCTCTGAAAATGTTGATAAAGTCACAAAAAGTCCCATGTACCTATACATTTTATTGAATCATAAAGTAACATTGAATGAAAACACTCAAAATGGTACTTATGTACAGTACTTTGTACGTTTACTTTGTTACTTTCCACACAGATCATATCACATAAGAAAACATTTTAAAATGACCTTAAGAATAGTACCATAATAATTAAATAATAAGAAATAATTAGTGGTCACTCACTGACATGCATACAATCACTGTTTTTATGCTTAATGTGATCATAAGTTATGTTAAGTTGTTATTGCTTTAAAGAGGCCCTATTATGCTTATGGTCCTCCCTTTCCTGTAGTGTGTTATACAGGTTTTTGTGCAAGTAAATGGTCTGCAAAGGCTAAAATCCCAAAGTTCCCTCCAGAGGGAGTTTCTCTCCCACACACTCCATCCCCCCCCCCCCCCCCCCCCCCCCCCCCCTGCCAGAAACGCCTCGATTGGACTCATTTGTTTACTTCCACCGGCAAGCTAGCCAATCAGAGCAAACTGGGCTCTGGTTTCAGACAGAGGGTCAAAAGAAACAAATCGAATAAATAGGGAACTTTTTTTTAACTTCACTTAAAGCTTACAGTAAGATGAACATAATAACTTTTACGCCCCCAGCCACCGCTGATCAGTGGCCACCTCGTACACAATAAATAATTGTGTTTTTTTCTTAGTATGCCTGGAATAGCTGTGGAATAAAACAAATATATTTTCATACTTTTTTCACACACACCTGCCCACACGCTCATTGTTCTAGAGACACACACACACCACACACACACACACACACACACACACACACACACACAACACACACACACACACACACACACACACACACACACACACACACACACACACACACACACACACACACAGGTGCTGAAACACAGGTTGTTCTGACCTACATAGCCAGTCATTGGAAATGCTTTCTCTAATGTGAGTTTACACCTCAATGACTTTGACACAGAGAAGAAGAGATAGCAAAGAAGGGGGAGGACAGAAAAAGATCACAAAGGACATAAGGTATTAAACTGTGAGGGAAAGAGCAGAAGGGGATGCAGGGTTAGGGTTGAAATGAGAAAGCGTGACCTAATGCTGGCACTGTGCAGCATCTAAAGATGTTCAGCTGTCTGACTCGGGCCATTTCCCTCTTCACCCTGGTTCATCCCTTCTGCAGTGTGGCATGAGAAGGCATCAGTGTCTACTTCCCTGCTCGCTTGCTCTTTTTGGGCTGGAAAATGGTGTTTGTAGTGTCAAGATGATAATGTACAACTGAAGTCATTAAGGAATAGCCACTTTTTGGAGCTTATTATAATGTAGCATGGTTGGTGTTGCTGCTCAAAGTGTTGATGTGTTAAAATGCAGGAGCAGAAACAGATGAGAAGTTCCAGTACAGCTTCAAAAACTTTAAGGAGGAAGGACAAAGTCTGAAAACTCAGCAGACACTTGTGGTATGCAAAACAAATGTAATGTTATACAACCAGCATTAATATGGAGTCTTTTGTTTGGGATATTAATGTTCTCTCTAAATGTGTTCATTTACTTTAATGAAAGGATGTTATTCATTTTGAAAAATAGTTCAAGTTCAGCACAGGCGCATAACTTTGAATGGTATACCAATCTATGTATAATTATAATTGATATGGTTCAGCTTGAGGCGTCTTTGCCGGGCACGATTCATTGAATAATGATTGTGGCTGATCCTGAAAAGTTTGAGGGTTAGAAAAACCATTAGTCACAACAGAGCTCTTGTTAGGGAACTTGTCCTTGCAATAGCAGCTCCAATTTTAACCTCCTCAAACCAGGATTTCCAGATCAGCTAAATCCCTTCAGCTGTGATTAGAAAAAGGAGTCGGATGTGTTAAAATGTCGGGGGAGAAGGAGGGTAAGTGTGAAGGAAACTGCAAATGAGATAGAAATGCAGAGAACCAGCATGAACATGCGAGTTTCCTGCAAACAAGTTGGCAGCTTTACAAAAAGTTCACTTGTCTGACGGATTATTAAAATATCCTGCTATTAGAGATATTATCTTTAATATTCTTCACATCCTTTAGTTGTATGGTTTCCTTTCCTCATAAACCCTTTGTGGCTCAGGACTACAAAACACATTCGCTGCTGACATTTGTGTATACATCATGTGCATGCCACCACGATACATTATCCCCTTTAGTTTTTAGAATTTCTTTTTTTTCCTTAGCTCATGACATGCAACTGAAAATAGATTTATGACGCATTCAGATACATATTTTACAGTGTCAGCTATAATACATCATATGCTGATGTTGTTCAGTTGAGGTGTTAAATTATAAAAATAGGTGCTCAGGTTTGGTATTTTTTATTGTAGAAGAAATGCGGCAGAATGTCTATAAACTGCAGTCTGATTATCATTAATATGGTGTCATGTTGGGTTTTGAATACAAATATTATTCCACATTAAGTCAACATAAGTGAAGTATTTTTTTACAGAAATCAGAATTTAGAAATGTTTGTTACAAAGTGCGGGGAAAAAATACGTTATATTATTGAATGAAGAAATGAAAGCAACCACAACAGGCACATGCACTGGTGGTGACAAAAACAGCGTATTAAAGCATGGCCTGCTGCACGCTGAATCTGCTCCACAGCACACACACTCCTCACAGGGATCTGATGGAAACAAGGAGGCTGAAAATCACGCAGCACCCCTGTCACATCATGTGGTCGCTGTAGTATTCAACTGTGTGTGTGTGTGTGTGTGTGTGTGTGTGTGTGTGTGTGTGTGTGTGTGTGTGTGTGTGTGTGTGTGTGTGTGTGTGTGTGTGTGTGTGTGTGTGTGTGTGTGTGTGTGTGTGTGTGTGTGTGTGTGTGTGTGTGTGTGTGTGTGTGTGTGTGTGTGTGTGTGTGTGTGTGTGTGTGTGTGTGTGTGTGTGTGTGTGGTGTGTGTGGTGTGTGTGTGTGTGTGTGTGTGTGTGTGTGTGTGTGTGTGTGTGTGTGTGTGTGTGTGTGTGTGTGTGTGTGTGTGTGTGTGTGTGTGTGTGTGTGTGTGTGTGTGTGTGTGTGTGTGTCTGAAGTGCACTTGAATAGCTAGCAGTCTGATCCACACCTGTCATGTAGCATCAGGCCTGATGTGAGAGATGTGTCTGCAGCGATGCCCATGTACACACACGTTCACAAACTGTTCAATCTCAGGTACACATGCACACAGATGCTCAGGCAAGCACGTTAAATATGTTTTGACTCGGCTAGATATTAAAGAACAAATACATGGATTTCTATAAATATAAATGATTAATCAGAATAAACATGAATTGTTATGCTATACACACTAAACACACACACAGATCTACTGCAGTGAATCATAGAAGCTCTTCTTGCCAGAGGCTTTCATACAATAAAATACAAATACAACAGGATGAGAACAGGGAATGTCAGGACCCTTTCCATCACTATCATCCTGGCAGGAGAGAGCCCTTTATGTATTTATCAGCCTCATGCAAACAGAAAAAACAAATAAACATCTTTGTACATAATATATAAATAGAATGCTAAAAATCTAGACTCAACACAGTGGTTCAGAGCACGAAGGTCACAATGCCTGAAACCTTAAATGCCGCTGGTGTTGTGACACACAGGCAACGGGTGGCAAGGGCAGCAAATCACATGGAAGTCACATTAGCTCAGCCCTGTGCACGAATGATCTAAACAGTCGCTTTCTGCTGAACTTTAATTGTCCCTTCTTTGACATTTTCTTTTGCTCCCATGTCAAACATGTTTAGCAGGTAATGTTTAATGTCCCTCTCAATCGTAGCTTAAAGCGGAAGCAATTAGCACTTACCAGCTGAGGCTGATGGGAATGTCATTAATTTGAGTAGTATTGCATTATATTTCGGTAATTTATGAAATGGAAAGCGTCTTTAAA